CTCCTCCAGCTCAGGGCTGATCATTTATTACTGAGACAGAGGACAGCTTTACATCTGTTCATGCACAGACAGCTTTTACAGACACAGCTTTTACAGCAGGGGTGTCCACAAGCTACAAGAATGAGGTGCAGACCAACAATTCATTTAGTACAAGACAGACACTAGAGCTCAACAGCTCCATTTCTCACCACAGCAATTCTGCTGCAGGCCCAGGGACTGAAGCAGACCCTGAAGAACCATGAACTGCCTGCCTGTGACTTGTGGCCAGCTATCAATAACAAAATGCCATCAGAGCTGACAGAAAAACCTGCAGTGTTACAAGCTGACCTGCAATTCCACTTCAGTTCTCCTCCTCCCATTTCTATGACAGAATAGAACCAAATTCCCCCTCAGCAGCATAGTAATTAGATATTCAAAAAGCAAACAAATTTCACATGACAGACCCCAGGAGAAAACTGATATACATGGAAAAAACATTTTAGTTCACTTAGGGCCATTCTGGTAACAACAGGCTTGGAGGGATGCAATTAGTATCCTGCAAGCCAGCATATGAAAAGGTTTAAATTACACTATCAGACCTAAAGAACAGCTATAGAAATTAAAAGTGAAGCCACAAATCCACACAGGACTGCCACAGCTAGGAGTTTTTATGATCAGGAATTCTAGAGTGGTAATTCACATGTGTTGCATCCAGAATTCTGCTTATTCAGAAGGGGAGGCATTATTTTGGACCACCCTGCAATAGCTGAGGTTCATCAAACCCTGGAGGTCAGTCTGTGGCTCTCTGGCAGTTCTCTGTACCATGCAGGAAGAAGCAGCCAATGCCAGCCAGGTTAATTCTTACTCTCCAACAACAGTTTGCTGATTTGGTGTCTCCCTTTTCAATATAACCTATTTTCTTCTGCACAGAAAATCCCTACAAGTGTTCTGAACTGGGGAAAAGTTCTTACATCACTGTCAATCAAATTTGTGGGGGAAAAAAAGCATTACAGCAGTCTTAATGCAAGGCTACACAGACAGCAGAGTACCAGCAGAGAAAGTAAAAACCAGCCCTGCAATATTCACTCTGCTGTGACCAATGGCACATGATGGAAAGCAGCTCCTTTTAAATCAACCCAACCTACCAAGGGAATCCCCACAGAGGAAGATTTAAGTGTCAGGAAGGAGCTGCTGGAGGTGACAATAACTGCAGCTCAAGGCAAAGGGGATGGAGCCACCAGACCCACTGACCCCACTGACAGTGCCTTTCCCACAGCATTTTGATGTGGAATCCTGCACAAAATTTGGGTGAGGTGAGGCTCTAGCCTTTTTTTAGATTTGGACCATTTGCATTATACTGCAGGCATACAATAAACCCCAAAGCATTCCAGACAGCAAGTTCTTCCAGCACCTTTTGACTTTCCAAGTACAAAGCAAAGGAAACATTTAAAAAACATGACTCGTAAAGCTTTTGCTGCTCCCTGTTAAGATTTGCTGTCATCGGGACAGCATTTTTTGGATGAAAAATGTTTATTGCTAAAGGTCACAGAGTTGTCTCTTTCAAACAAATTAAGAAATAAATGGCTGCTGACACTTCCAGATGATGATTCATCTGTCCAGGAGCTCCAATAATGCACAGCCACAGCTGCCCCTCAGGTTTGCTGCAGACCACAGCAGCCACCAACTAACCCAGAAATCTGTCCTCACTCTCCTGTCACTCTGTTAGCCAACTTCTCAGCCTTCTTCATAGACACACCAAAAATTCCTTGCATTCAAGCTTAAAACCAGATGAAAAACAGATGAAAATAACATCTGTCAGGAAAAATACTCTTTGCAGTAGCCAGGTTTCCACACTTACTATTTCTATGATTACCAAAGTCCTCTTCACATCTCAGCCTTCTTCATAGACACACCAAAAATTCCTTGCATTCAAGCTTAAAACCAGATGAAAAACAGATGAAAATAACATCTGTCAGGAAAAATACTCTTTGCAGTAGCCAGGTTTCCACACTTACTATTTCTATTATTACCAAAGTCCTCTTTTCTTCACGTGCAGCAAAGATTCTCCATGTGAGAGATACAGGGATGAAAGAGGCCGATGGATCAGCACCAATATCACCACTCCCAGAAAGCAGTGAAACAGAGAACAAGAGAGAAATATTCCAGCACCTCAAGGGCAGCTGGCAAGCCCCAGCACATTTAACCCCAGCACAGGTCAGCACACAAGAAATGCTGGCAGGGGAGAGAGAGAGAGAGAATCTCCTTGCCAGGAAAGGTCAAGCTATTGAAGAAAATTCTTTAAAGAGTTATTAAAGTTCTGGAGGTCTGTTTAGACAACCCTTGAGTGAAAGGCCAGCATGCGATACAGCAGAGATATCCAATGTTTTATCCTGTCAGAGTAACATCTCCATAAAAAAATTAATAATAGATTTTTATTGAGTGATTATCCTTCCCATCCTTGGCTTTTCACTGGAGTTTATGGGGACTATTTACTGATCTCTTCAGGGAAGGAGATGACATTTACTGTTCCTACTATGCCCCTCTGACCTCAGCCATGGCTTCTACTGTCAGCACATCCAACAGAGATTCTGCAACTCTGAAAGATGCTGCTACAAATTTAGGGACTATTACTTCAAACAGAAGCACAGAATTCTTGAGGACAATACAGAATGCTTTGCAGACAATGCAGAGGACCAATAATTTATGATTTGCAAAAAAAAAAAAATCAAGAAATTTCTTCTCATTCTTTTCACTGCTCTCCAGTTCTGTGGCACAGCTGTGATGATCATCAGCTTGGACGTGGAGTTCTTATTATCTGCCCAATTTAATAATAAGAAACAGATAACCAGAGCAGTTGTCAAACAGTCCAAATCCAAGGATGTGCTCTTTTCAAACATACAACTTACAAGTAAAAGCTTTCCTGGAACTTCTGCTCCTTCATGCATTTCAGTTTGATGCATTGAACTGTCACTTCTCAGTTACTGGGTTGAAGTGTTTGCTATGTAGGTTTTGTTTTGGGGAATTTTTTTGTTTTGTTCCCCCCCCCCCCTTTTTTTTTTAAACAATGGATAAGTTACAATCAGAAATTTGTAACCATCAGCCTTTCAAGTCAAGATCATGTGATTAGGAATTAAGAGCCTCCTAAGACTAAGGATCTATTTAAGCCCATTGAGAGATGTGCAAGCCAACCCCAGTGTGGGTAAGGAATAAAAGTGCAGACACAGAACTGAGAGCACTGAAGGAAGATGTTTCATCCTAACCAGCAATTGTCCCAGTGTGCAGAAATCAACTGTGCTAGCAGGAAAATACTGGTTTTAAAAAAAAATCAAACCAAAAGAGAACCCCCACACCAGTTTTTATTAACACATTCTTTGTATGAGTGTTATTCTCTTCCCTTGAGAATTTAGCTTACTGTCCAGCACCTGGAATCTTTTATATCCATTTATAAACAGATGCTGCACACAAATGAATCCCAGCTACTTCTTACAACCTTTGTATGAAAGAAGGATGACCAAGGGAGAAGAGTTTTTGTCTTATCAGAGGCAGGTGGAACAGAGAAGAGTGAGCTGGACAAACAGCACAGGTATAGACTGAGGAGCAGGGGTGGAGCCAGGAAGGTTCTCTTTCACCTGGTCAGGGCACATCTAAAGAACAAGGAAACAGACCCACAGGAAACTAGATTTCATTATTTCCACTTCTCTGAAAACAAACCCATTTGTGCAATTCACTTGTGGCTACAGCATGAGCTTGTCTAATTTGCTTCTAGACTGAGTAGCAATAAAAAGACCTTGTCAGGAAGGTGGGTTTTCCTTCTCCTCACCTTAGCCTGAAAATTCTCTAAAGAAATACTTATTTTATGTAACATTGATTTGTTCAATGCAGCATGCCTTGCTTGCAAACTAATGAGAGAAGAATTTCAGACCAAGTACTACAGCTGTTGGGTAATGCCTATTTGGAAGGCAGTATAGATCAGAACACTAAATATTCACAAGCTTGTTTGCAAGCTCATTTAGGAGCTTCCTAGATGTCAGGTTTCTGGAGATGTATCCTTTAGGATCTGTACAGAAAGCTCTTTTGCCTCACTTGAGTAGTATCAGTGGCTTGAACTCTGCAGCTCATAAAGCTAAACAGTAACTTTAAAGGAGAAAACAGAGTTTCTAGATCTGACCATAACCCCTCAAAGCCACTGTGCCCTCTTCAACACCAGTCAGAGGACTTCCCATGGGACTTGTCCACCTATGCAATGCCTACATGACAGAGGCATTGATTCCTCCTTCACTTGCCTTTTCCACCACAGCAAGGGTGCAACACACAAGGCAAAGTGCAGCTTAATTTGCATCAGGCACCATTTAAATGGCTCAGAGAAAAAGATCTCAGCAACTACATGCACACATTGCTGCTGCAAGGACAAGTGGCTGTTCCATTCGTGGTGGTGTGTGGTGCCAGTGACTCCACACCTCTGCAGACAGCACTTCAACCCAGCCCAAAGTGACTACTCCAGGCAGTGCAGTACAGAATATTGAGGGAAGTTCCCAGCAAGGGAGAGAAAACGTTTGGATGCAAAAAATTCATGAGAAAGACAAGCCAAATCATGGGCAGTTCCAGATGGAAACCTTTTATCAAGAATTCTTTCACATGTCCTGCATCAAGAAAGAAAAAAAAAAAAGTAGAATGTAAGGAGTGAGCTATTCCCATTTCTTGGCTTTTTTTTGTTATTTCAAGAGTCAACATTTAACATTTTACATTAAGGGCTACACAGGCCCTTAGCTGAATATTAAAACCAGCTTCCCTGGCTTTTCATATTGCCCAGAACACAGAACAGTCCATGTCAGCAGCAGCTAAACCAGCACACCCTGAATACGGAACATGAATTTTCTGCTCTCAAACGCACCAGAGCAAGATCGCCCTGAGCTCTGCTGCTGGCAAATAAAAAACCACAGGTCATCATACACGTATCTGCAAGTGCAGTGAGGCCTTAGGTAGGGCAGGCTGGCGGGGGTGTCACACAGAAACCATGCTACCTCTGTCACTGAAGTCGTCCACCAGCACGATCTCTGCCACCAGCTCGGGCGGGGAGCGGTTCAGGACGCTGTGCACCGTCCGCAGCAGCGAGGACCAGCCCTCGTTGTGGAAAGGGATGATCACGCTGGTGTTCGGCAGCTTCTCCAGGTACAGCTTGTTCTTGCAGCTGGACACAGACAGAGCAAGTCAAAAGGTGCTGCCAGAACACACCAGCCACACCAATGAACACCCAGAACACACCAGCACTTCTGTATTAATTACCAGCAAGCAACTTAGCAAGTAAATTTAGTAAACTTCTTTACTCCTCAAAATGATGCAGAGGGCACTAATTTTCTTGATTTTGAAATAGGCAAACTGTTACCTTGTAGGGTTGGTTTCAAGGCAGTTTCATAAATAAAATTCTGCAGTAAGAAGTGCAGTGTTTACTTTCCTGCAGGCGTGGCCGTAATTGGACTTTACATCTGGTTAAACAGGTAACCTCCACTAAAGCCACACAGTGACCCAATGTAGTTAAATCACATTCAGTAGGGGTCAAGAATCTATCCATCCCTGGAGCCCCCTGTGTCCAGAACAAACCAGCATGTGCTGTGTGAATGGAGGTGTGTGGAGGGTGCCAGGACAGTGCCAGCAGGACAAGCTGCCCCAGGAGCAGGGCAGGGAGGTCCCACGCTGCTCCCTGTCCCTTGCACAGCCCCCAGGCTGCTGTGCAGGCTGTGCCCTGCCAGTTCCCTGGGAGGTTGTCACTCTGTGCACAATTCCATGCACACAGGAGTAATTCCCTGCCCTGGCCTCCGGAAGGGCAGACAGGAATGAAAGCAGCTCTGGCAGTGGCAGCTTTTTCCTGGTACCTTTCCCAGGGCACAGAGAAGGATGTACCTATGTTATACAAGCTCAATGCATCTGTGCCTACAGGAAGTTACTCTGGTGCCTGTGTGAGAGGACAGTGACTTATTCTGGGTGTGATGAATTGTCCTGGGGTGCTGCCAAAAGCCTGCAGGCTGTGGCTGCAATGCACAGATGCAAGATGCAAACTGAAGCTGCAGGGACTGCTTTCATCCAGCCCCTGGCACTGCCACCCTAACCTTCTTCCAAAAGCTACTAGCTACAGTTCTGCTCCAATATGAACCAAGAGCCCTTGAATTGTTTCTAACTCTTCTTAAACTAGAATCCTCATTTTCTGACTCACTTTAACAAGTGGAAAACTTTAGCTATTAAGTTTAACCATTAAGCGTGGAGAGAAATTGCTTCCCTCCAGCTACTGTATCTACAATTGCTTTACAAGACCTGCAAAATTAGTATTTAATATTAAAAACCCTAGAGGAGCTTAAAGGAACTGTTATCAGGGGAAGACATGACTGTTGAAACAAACAATTGTATGTGTGCACCAGGCAGATCCAATACATGCTGTGCCCCAGCTCCCCGAGTCCCACAATTAACAGAAAGCAGAGGTGACACACTGTGTGGTGTATTAAAGTCCACACAAACCATCTCACACATCAGCTGTTGGGGAGAAAACCAGCTTTGGCCCCAAAGCTTAGGGCAAGGCAGATGATGCATTTTTCCCCAGCACATCTCACACTCCTCACTGCATCTAACAGGCTCTAAAACACAGCTCCCTTCTTTCTGGAATACTCTTTATGGACTTGTAACTTTATAGCTAGGTCTCAGCCGAACTTTGTTATAAACTGCCCTTTTCAACCTCTCCAGTAACACAAACCATACCATTTAATGTGCATATTTTTTAATGGGCACAGAGAATGCACAGCAGATCCTTCCAGTCATGAATTCCTTCTCTGCACACCCCACTATGGGTAACCCTGCTCCCTGCCCAGCTAATCCCAGCACCCATTAGGCACATGCTGTTTATCCACTCCTCAAGGCCCCCACAGTCACAGTTTGCTCTGCTGGAGGAAAGGATTTGTCAAGCAACAACCAAACCACTGTAGCAGCACCATTAATCACAGCTTAGAGTCATTGGTGTCCCTTCACTTATGACACTTCACTTATTAATTTTATCTGGAGCTGGAGTTAGAAATTTCACATTTCACAAATAGCAAAATTAGCAACACTGAGTTGGCAATTTCAGGAAACATTGGAGCATGTGAGGTAACACATTAAACCCTCAGATGAATATCAGATAATGCCAGTATTTTGTTAAGTTCCCAGAGCCCAAGGCAGACCCTGTGAATGGAGGCCAGGTGGAATTTAGATTAGCAAACTCAAACTGTATTTCCTAAAACTTGAGCATGGGCTGATCCACACACATCTTCAGTTACCTGATTTATCTCTATGTTTAAACATTTCAGCTGCAAGCCTAAAATATTTATGGAGCTACACTCACTACTTTTTTATGTGTTTATATTGAGAAGGGTGTCAAGCCAGTATATTTGATTAGTTTGGTGTGACAGCTGAAGAGGTAATATATCAATTGTGCAGTTAACAAATTATAAAACCTGACTTCTGGAACTTGTATCTTGTGAATAAAGTAGATGTTGAATTCAGATTTACTAAAATGTGATAAATACAGCTTTACACAAAAGAATGTTAGATTCATATATCTAACAATGCTTTCAGACTAAGAACCTCACAAACAGTATTTAAAAACCTCTCAGCTTTGTATAGACAAGGTCTACGTCCTAACTGATGCACTTTTACAAGAGAAAAACTTCTGGCTTAACCAAAATCCAGTTCAACACCATCTTACAGTATATTGTCCAAAACTAGATGACCCCTAAAGTCAGTATTCAATTGGAACTTATTTCTACTTGTAAACCCTGATGAGGCTGCTTTTATGAGGAAGATGTCCACAAAAATAATCCATAAACCTGGTAAAACTCTTCATACATAGTTGAGTGAAGCTACTCACATCTTTTTCTGCTCCTGAGTATTCAATGGTCATTTCCAGCTAGTGGCCAACATAAGTAGAATCTCTGGGTTACATTAAAGATTTCTTCTGAGCAGGGTTGTAAGTTTGTGGTAATTTAAAGTCTTTTGAAATCAAAAAACAATTTTTCCCCCAGATTTGATCTCTTCTATTTCCCACTAAAATTACTTTACACTGTCCTTTATTAAGGAAATACCAGGAGCCAGCTGTACAAAGATTGGATTTTATGAACAAAGGTACAAGAGACCATCATAAAAAAGAACACATTCCTGTAGAGGTGGTAATTTAGGGCTTGCAAAGCTTCACTCCTAGAAATGCAAACTGTATACTCACTTTGGATGCCTGATGTCTGGAAGGGAACGATTCAGAGAAATTTTATCACTCACAAAGATATTAAAGCCATTTTCCCTGTATGCCTGGTCCACTCGCTCTGCATCAGTCATTGGGTAAGGTTTTCCCTGTTCTCCATTTCCTGTGGATAGACAGAAAGCAAATACAGATCATTGCTGCTAATTAGTGCTTAACGGGCCAGAAACTAATCCATATAGCAGAAAAAAAGAGCATCTTATAGTCCTTTGAACATTACTTTATGAGTTTTGTACTCTGTGTCATTTAGCACCAGGTCAACCATGCCAATTTAACAATTTTATCTGATAAGCAGTTTTGCTACAAACCACTCGGCTGTGCAAATCCAAGGTAAAAGTCTTCCTCCTAACACCAGAAACAGATGAAGGGTTTTGGCAATGCTGTGGAAGACCTACAGAATGCCTTTTGTTTCACAGTGGGAAGAATCCATGTGGTTTGAATATCTCAGCACTGTTGGAATTCTCAGCACAGATGGATTTGTGCTCCTGCACTGAGGGGCAGAGCCCTTGCAAACACATCAGTGTAAAGCTGTGGCATTCAAAATGGGCCTTATTTGCAATGCAAGACAAACCCCAGATTATGGAATGGACTTGCATGAATGTTACAGAACATTCTTCTTATTCTTCCTTTCTCGATTTCCCATTTTTGGGAGAGGGGGCTAGGTTTTTTAAAAATCAATTTTCCACCTGTCATAAAACCACCAAGTTTTAAGTGTTACATTTGCACCTCAAAATAGTTATTGTGGAGTTGAGGAAAAAGGAATTTAATTTGGATTAACACAGTTAAAATATTAACAGATGAATTGGCTTTAATGCTGCATCACGTCAAGAACATCACCTTGACCCTAAAGCTGAACATGTTGTTCTACACTCAGCCTACCAAATAAAATCAAAGCTACAATTTGTATTAAAACATTTTTATAGCAATCTTACATACCTACACGCTCAGAGTCCCTCCTTATGGCTTCTTTGTTATGCCAGTCCTTTTTCCTTTGTCCATCAGCAAAGTAAAGGTCTTTCTTTTGCCTCACGTATGGTGCCTTTTAAACAAAAAATTGGATATATAATAAATACACAACAAATGAAACCCTTCCTCAGCAGCCTCCCCTTCCTGTAAGAGGAAATTAAACATCTCCCTTAAGGTAAGATCATCACAAGCAAGTGGCTTTTAGCCTGAAAGGGGTGAGGGAGAAAGTGAGTTTTGCTTGTCTCAGAACTTTATCTGTGTCTGTTAAGTGATATTTTTCCAGGCACCATCACATATGCAGAACATTATTTCTTAATCAGAGAATCTATTAAAAACTCCCATTTTCATTTTGAAAACATCCAATACATCTTACAGCCTTTTTGTTAATTAAATAGGATGTATTGGGAGACCTATTGCAGGATCATTATTAATGAGATGCTACCACACCTGAATAAAATCAAAATAAGATTTAAAAGGTCATTTATTAAGACTCTTGCTGCTGAACCCAATTAGAGATTCTATTTCATTATGTTCTTCCCGAAATTCAAGCCACGGGTGCTTTGAAAACAAGTGAGCAAATGAAGATCCCCAGTAATCCAACATCTCCAGCTCACCTCTGACTGCACAGGATGGAGACTCACATTTGCTGAAGGAAGAGGAGTCATGAGAGGCACTGCAAAAGCCTTATTGATTCACATCATGCAGGGGAAGGCAAGTGCAGCCCCAGAGCAGCTGAGCTGGTGAAAAACCACACACTCCTGTCATGCAAGGGCTCACCTCGACTCACCAAACATAAATATCAAACTAATTTGCTTAACCTGCCTTGTGGTTTTCCAGCTGTCCCATTAAACACCATGGTTCTCCTGTGGATTCCTGCCTGGTGATAATGCCACCCTTTCGAATCATTCCCACTAAATAACCCACACTACAGCACACTGCCATCCTGTAAAATTTTGCCTCTGTTTTACAAGAACAATTCTTTGCCAGGCCAGCTCACTGACCAGTCTCCTCCTCTGCCAGGAAAAGTCCTGGAAAGCTCTCACAGGCCAGAGCATCTCCTTGCCAGGAGAGTTTTGCCAACTTTCTGAGCACTAGCCTTCTGCACAAGTATCATTATGGGCACAGGAACAACTGGCAGGTCTGAAATCTCTGTATTTTAGGTCTCTTGTCTCTTGTTTATAGTGTTCTGGACTGAACGCACACACCAGGAGAATCACTGACAATGCCACTGTCCCTCCTGCCATTTGCTGGGATTAAACATGTGAAAATCCCTTCAAAGCAGTTGCTGTGGAAACCCCCCCCAGCACTGCAGAGGAGAGCATGGCCAGAGTGTCCAGGGACTGCATCCAGAAGGAAGAACACACATTGCAACTCTGAACCTCACAACACCCACTGTGCTTGTGGGAGCCCAGCACCCCAAGGCAAACCCAAACAAGGCGAGCAGGGAATTGAGGCAACCTGGAGAAAAAGAGGAAAACTCAGACCCACCAGCAAACAGACATCCAATCTGTCTAACAGAGCATTGCTAAATCCCATCTCTTTCTGGGACTTGGGCATCTTAAAACTAGAACTGCAGAGGCACCTCCCTTCCCTCTGAACACATCCATGGAAAACACCTGTCCACTGCTGCAGGTACCCATGGGGATGGCTCTGTGTGCTGCTTTTGGCTGGGCAGAGTTATTAATTTTCTCCACATGATATGGTGTGGGGCTGTGACTTGGCTTTGTGCTGGAAAGTGCTGATAAAACAAGGATGTTTTTGTTGCTGCTGGGCAGGGCTTACCCAGAGTCAAGGTTTTTTTGCTTTGCCCTCAGAGAGGAAGGTGGCGGTGCATGGGAAGTTGGGAGGGGACACAGGACAGCTGACCCCAGGGACATCCCAGACCATGTGGTGTCACCTTCACATAAAGCTGGGGGAAGGAGGGGGGAAGCAGGGTTTTTGGAGTGATGACATTTATCTTCCCTGCTTTCCTGGGATAGGCTGAACACCTGCCTGCCCGTGGTAAGTGGGGAATGGATTCCCTGGTTTGTTTTGCTTTGTGGGGTTTTTGCTTTACTTTTTCAACTCTTTATTTCAACCCATGAGTTTTCTCACTTGTAACTCTGCCAGTTCTCATCCCCACCCCACGGCGGGGGTGAGCTGCCAGCTGGGACACAACCACAACACATTCCTTCTGAAACACACTGAAATGCACATGGGATGGATCTGGAGCTGTCCTCCACAACAGCCCCCGGGAGAGAGGTTTGAAATACACCCCAAAGGATTCACACCAACGTCTCCAGAACCCTCTGAGGGAGGCCACAGCACTGGGCTGGGTGAGGAGGAGCATCTCTCACCATTACAGAGCTGTCCCACCACAGCAGCAGCCTAAAAGCCATTAAAAAGCTTTGCAGCCATCCCTGCTCAGCGTGCGCAGCCCCAAGCTCCAGGCTGGACTGATCCTTGTGTTTGTGTGCTCAGTGTAGGATAATGTGTGCAGGGAAGTAAATCTTCTGCACAGCTTCAAGCCATTCTTCAGAGGGGTCAGCAATGTGCATGTAAACATCCTCAGAGCAAGCAACAACCTAATGCAAGCAATTTAAACCCTGAGATAGAGGGAAAGCAGGCAGCAGCACACCATCCTCCAGGGCTGCTAAAATAAAGGAAAACAAAAACAGAAAAAAAACCCACAGAGACTGCCACTGCACTACCCACTGCACCAACCAGGCAGATGGACAGTAGAAAGTCAAGCACACAGATGTATTTCTCTCACTCACAGAAAAATTTACACACAAAAGCATCTGTGTGCTGGGTTAAGCTAACCCTGTCAGGGCCACACATGTCAGTAATTTGTACCCTTTTAGCATGAAGGAAAACTATGAAGCACACACATCAGTTATTCAGACCTTTCTGAACTGCAGTGTGGGACTTCAGAGGTGCACAGAGTGAGAGTTATTGATCCTGAAGTGCTGGGAACAGGCTCTGCACAGCTCTCACTCTGGAGACTTACAAAGATCAACACTTCTTCATGTTGGCACTGACAAAATGAAATGAGGACTGTGCAGGGTGAGTCATTATCAGCTCCTCTGCCTGCACAGCTCATGATGCTTCTGCCCTGTACAGCTGGCACCAAACTGTCCTATTCACACAGGACAAAACATGAACCTCTGCTGGATCAGCATAAACTCCAAGTGGCTTTTAGAATCCTGAAGGGCAGACACAATTCCAGGTCATGGCAGACATGCTGCATTCTGCAGCTTTTTTTGGTCTTGGGCAGAGAAGTTACCTTAGTTCATCCAACACTGGAGTCCTCCATTACATTTAAGTCAGCTTGGGTAAATGTTAAGAGGTTACAATATTCCTTAGTGTATCCCTTGCAAGCAAACATACAATGCTTACACTGGTTTTGCAGGTCACTGTTAAAACACCATAACTGAAAAGTCTGCTGTGAGTCACTGACAAGTTGTGTCAACAGTGTCTAAACATTAATTTTGAAGTGACTTGCAGTGCTAGAAAAGGAGTATCAGTGTCTTTGCCTCGGTGACCTTGCCAGCCCTCACCATCCACACAGCCCTGGAGGGAAGGTGCAGCTGCAGCAGCCAGATCAGCATCCTCTTTCTGGTTAAAAACCCCACTTTCAACACCAACTTCATTTCAGCAGACCACCAAAAAAAGTCAGTGTGAACTATAAAACACTTGCCTTCCCCTTCCTTGACTGCAGTCATCTCATGCCATCACTCTTAGCAGAGCTGTGTGTAAGGTTGCAGGCACGATGCCACCAAGGGCAGAGGGAGGATGTGCACAAATGTCCTCAAAGTCCCTGTCACGGGGAAGATGGGCAGGTTGCTGACACTGATGTGATTTTGGAAGTTCTTTTCATTCTTTCTTGCTTCCCGCCCCACCACCCTCTTTGTAAAAGATGTCTGAGGCTCCAGAAATCCAGACACAGCATACAGGGACCAGAATGTTGCTTTTTTTAGTGGTTTCCTTCAGGGATGCTGCATGGGATTTGACTCAATTATGCAAATTACATAACTTGATGATACTCCTTCAACAAATGCTCTAGACTGTGATATCAGAGCAATCTGCAAAACACAGCAACTTTCCTAGGACTGATTTTTGCTTTAACTCTTAAACAAGCATCTCATTTATGGGAGTTATGTCATACATGTAATGCTGTATTTCATCTCCATTTACACTCTCATCCTAATTTCTCATCAACTCTAACTGCATAGCAGGAGGTAGAACATTTTTGTCCAAACCCTCCACCACATCCTCCCTTTATGTGCATTTTATCTGTGGAATGCAGTGACCATTGTTTGAACATTGGAGCTGTCAATTCTGAATGGTCAGGGTAAATTCACATTATGGATGTGGACTTCTATCCCTATAAAAGAGGTCAGCAATTTTCACTTCTGCTCTGTGTCAATTTCCCATTTTGCAAAAATATTGCTGTTTTTTTAAATAGTCAATTGTAAACATCATGTAAAAAGCAGATTTTAAAGCGTGAAGGTTTCATTATGATCATCTAGTCAGGCTATATAAGTGCACCAACAATTGAATTCCATCCAGTCACTCCTCCAACAAGCCCATAAGTTCTGTTTCAGCTCAAGCACATTTTCCTTCCCTTAAGAACTGGAAGTTGTTTACCACTAAGGAGTGATTACTTCTCCAGCAATATCTTAAACTGTTCTCCTGCCTGTTTCCAGCTTTCATTTTTTAAAAACTGAAAATGAACTAAAGTAGAACGGCATATTAAGCAATACATTGAAAATGGATTTAGACAGATTGCTGTAAATAAGCCCCTTCTGTTGTCTACCACACTGTTACTTAACACGCAGCCAAAGCAATTGATCAGCGTTCAAACGCCAAATGCACAAAAACAGAATTTTAATTTTTTGTTTAATCACTATTTAGTGCGCCTGGCTGCAGCCAAAATAAAAAAAGAAAAGAAGTGTGGATCGAGACATAAGCCAAGAGTTTTCTACACATGAGGAAAAGAGATTTGCTGAAGCATTTCTGTTAACCATAATGCTGTACAGATCTCAAACCCTCTTCCAACATTTGTTTTGCTGATTTATTATTTTCTTTCAA